AGAAAGAGTGAATATGAAATTCTAATCACGAAAGGTGTTCCCCGAGGGGATACATACCTAGAGTTTGTTTTGTGAAGCACGTCAATTCTCTCCTGGGGAGCGTCTTCGTGAGCCTCTTATGGTTTCAGGACAAATCCTATGATGTTCCGATTCAATGCTCACCGATGATCTGAGCCATGGGGCAAGTTTGTTTTCCTAAGAACCTTTTTGAACATTTCGAGAGCATGTGTTTGAACATTTAGAGTGCATATGAACATATATTTACGAAAGGTCGCCTCCGAGGGGATAAATCACCATGTCGAACATTGCATTTTTGTTCCTGCCTCTCGCGTTCTCTTCTCTTCCCGCTGTCCTACCTTTCGTGTCTCCCTCCTCTCAAGTTTAAGGTGAACTCCCCGGTGCAAAACTTTCTAACCAAGCAAATATGCCTCCTCTATCTATCTATCTATCCTATCTTATCTTATCTTATCTAATCTAATCTAATCTAATCTATCTATCAATTTATCTTTCTATCTTTCTATCTTTCTGCAGTTCAACATCCACAAAGTACTGCACCTGCCACGAAATCTGCACTTCAAGGTCCACAAAGTCTTGCGCCTGCCACGAAATCTGCACTCCAAGGCCCACAAAGTCCTGCACCTGCCACCAACTCGACACTTCCACACCGACAAAGTCCTGCATCTGCCACGAAATCTGCACTTCAAGGTCCACAAAGTCCTGCGCCTGCCACAAAATCTGCATTCCAAGGACCACAAAGTACTACACCTGCCACGAAATCTGCACTTCAAGGCCCACAAAAAGTCCTGCGCCTGCCACAAACTCTGCACTCCAAGGCCCACAAAGTCCTGCACCTGCCACGAAATGTGCTTTGCAAGGTCCACAAAGTACTGCACCTGCCACGAAACACGAAAAACAAAAAAAACGACAAAAAATCCAGAAATATATTTGCAACCTATATATATATATATATGCCTGTGGCCTACAATATATACTCAATTCTTGACTCTGCTCTGCATTGCTTTGCATTGCTTGAGTTTTACAGTCCTTTATCATTGTTTGTTGTTATCAAGTTTCAAGATTTATATAAATATTGGGCATATCGGTCTCTCCTACCATGTATGTATGATTGTGTTCTCCAAGCCCTGCATGGAACTCCAGGTTCTCCCTTTCCGCTTGGTCCGCCAAACGGCGGCCCTCCCAACTCTCCGAAGGGGGGAAGACTTTTCTCAGCGCTTGGGGCGGGAAAAGTGCGCAGTGGCAGTAGCTTCGATCGGAGCTACTACGAGAGGTCGTACCAAAGCATTCTCGAGCTGATTGTCCCGGCAACATATGCATTACAATAGTGTGTAGGATGATTTCTTTGAACCATGGAAAATTTCGACACTGGGACAGGCTCTTCCTTCCCCCCCCAAAGAAAGGTGACTTTCCCACCGCCTCTCCACCTCCACCTCCGGAGGCCACTCAGAAGGACATGCAGAGCCTGGTGGCGGAAGTGCAAGCGCTCCGTGCGTTGGATGCCGGGGCCGCAGCCAGATCCCATTGTTTAAAGTTTTTTCTGTACAGGTATACTGTATATATTATAACATAACTTGTTCAATCTTATATACTATCTATATATTATATTGGGTCTTTTTACTTGTGTTGTGCACGCAATCAATCGTCCTGAAGAGCCAACATGTGGAGCTATATAGAAACTCTGGTGGCTCCTTAGCTAGCTGCAGTCCCGCTAGATTGGTGAGTTGGGTAGGTCAAGCTGAGTCACGGTCTTCATAGATGTCCTTGCGACCGGAGAGCAAAAAGCAAACAACATCCATGCACAGCTTTTGATGTGCTGCTTGCCGCTTGCTTAGGTCCAGTGATTGAACATGCGATGTATATGTTCTCCCTTGTTGATGGCAGACAAACGCATTTCCGATTTAGCGCCACCAGGCAAGATTGATGACATTTGGGGGGCTTGACAAGCTTTGGTATTCTTCATCCAAAGTTGGGCGTCGACATGGGATTTGCTTAAGTGGATTGGCTTCAGGGTTCATCGAGATCGGGTCAGGGCCGTCAGGGTGCGTCATCCTGAGGTGCAAAAAGAAAGCAGCCTGGCTTTGGAAATGGAACGCCACGCACAAAGCGCCGGCCACAACAATCACAGGTCCAGCACCAGCGGATTGGTGGCGTGATTGCCATGGGGTAGGTTTGGAAGCAGCTTTGATATCCGGTTGCTTAATATGACTTATTGCTCAATACTGCACTATAGTACAGTAGTATAATTATATAAAGCAGTTCATTTCGCTTTTTACTCGTGCAACCTATCTATATAGAGTTGCGTAGTGCAGCCTGCAGGCTGAGTCGAAATTCCAGGACTTGACGTGTCCTGAAGAAATGCAACTTGATTTGTTGACCCCCCATTTGCCTCGCTGCGCTCTTGGACTTGGGCTCAGTGGTTGCTCGGGGATCGCGTTTCGAGGCACGTTGGAAGTGAATAGGGCTTTTGAGAGACACGGGAACATGTACATGTGGCACCTTTTGAACACCTACTCCCGACCTTAGGACAAGATTTTGAGTCCGCAGTTTTGCAAGCAGAGAAGTGGATCATCAGATAGTGTGTGGCCAAGCAGGCCCCCTGACCATGGCAGTCGCACCTTTGCTGCACCAAGCTGCTTCCTGGAAAGGAAAGCTGTAGGTTTTGCGCATCATGCTTTTTTTTTTAATTCTGGCCGTTAGCAAAAAGGGCGATAATCGTTGGCACTTGGGTGTGCGCGCGCGTGCGTGCGTGCGTGCGTGCGTGCGTGTGTGTGTGTGTGTGTGTTTGCGTGTGCAATTCTTAAGATTCTTTGATGCGACATGAGTGGATGTGGAGCATGCTGCTTGTGTAAATCCGGCATGCCGAGGATTTCATGGCTTGAGCCTCGGGAAACCTGTTTCTTGTTTGGTGTCCGGTCGACCGTTGGCTTTTGCACTCGGAAATGAGAGCAGGGTATGTCCGGAGATGTGTTCCCAAAAGGTCGAGTTTGGGCCCCACACTCTTTCCAATCTCTTTGGGGCCGTGCAGCTGCGTTCCGCGTCTTGCGTTCAGTTGAGCTAGGCAAGAGGCTGATCTACCCACACTTTTCAGTGAATGGCGTTTTCCAAAGTAATTAAACAGAATGATAATCATATATGTGTTTGCAGCTTGGCTTTAGAAAAGCTTTGTGGGGAATCGCTGAAAGTAGTGAGTATAGTAGTCGATTAGCACAAAAGCTTACGAATAAGATGTTAATAAAGGTTTATCCCGCACTGGTTTCCAGGACAGCCTATGCAAGCCTCTCCCTCAAAAGCCCTGCCGATCTCCATGCCTGACCATGTTTGCAGGCTGATGATGACGATGGAGATTGGAAGATTTGTTGGGACTTCGAACGAAACGACTGGGGTCCAGACGCTCAGCGAGCTGGGGTTAGTGGGTGGCAGAGCCATCCAGCCGAAAGACACTCACGAGACGCACTTAAGAGCTCCTTTCCATATACGGTATACGGCTTATCTAGGCAACTCCCAGACAAGTCCATCATATATGTGGCGGCATGCAGTTGACCATGCTTCTCTTCGGAGCGGGTCGGCCTGATGTCCAAGGAGTTCACTCCACTGCTACCTCAGGAAAAAAACTAAACTAAAGTGATTAAAAAAACAAAAACCTGCAGTCCCACTGCATCCATGCCATTCCATGCCCAACACCGACGGACAGGGAGGAATGGTGACCGCCCTCCCTCTCAGGTAGTGGCTGGAAATCCTCCAGCTCTTGGGCTCCAGGCAGAGTCGAAGCAGGTATCCATTGAAAAGATGCATAGCCCAGTGAGCTGACCAAAACGTTTTTTGGGATTGGCATTGGAAACTGAAGACGTGAGGCCTTTTGATTTCAGGTATGGTTCATGTGGATGCTTTGATTTTAGTGTTTCGGGAATTTGATGCATAATTCAGCATTTCGGACAAGATGGCTCATGTTTCAGCTTGATCTCAGGCATGATTCAATGATGGTCATGTCATGATCGTGATTCAGGATTGGTGTACTGCATGCAAATCTCAGGGTAAAGTCCCTTGACCCAGCCGACAAACTCCCAGGCCCAGCCACTTGGCAGGCGAGCGCGGCTGGGAACACAATCACTTGGTAGATGAGCAGTGGGGCCAACGGAAAGGCACCCGTAACAGATCTCCAAAAATTGGAGACACTTCCGAGTTCTTACACATTTTTGCTGCCCTCCCTCCAAGCATCCTGGAAGTCGAGCTCCTGCTTTTTGGAGGAAAACGGTCTTTCAATTGGCCATGTTCCACTTCTAGAGTTGTTGGATGCCAGATGCGCTGTAGCGCAGCCAGTTTCCCAGCTGGCGCTTCTTTCGCGGCGCCTGCCCGCCAGGCGCCACGCCCGCGGCCAGTCATGGGCGGAGGCCACGGGTGGTTTCACCTCACCTGGTTTCGACGTGGAGAGATGAGAGGAACCCCTGGCTGTAAACCTTTGCTGAACCCCTGGCTATGGAGACTGGAGTGCCCCAATTCTGATCGAAATGGACACTGTTTCAACTTCTATGTCCAAGGCCGAGGGGAATTCCATGATCGAGGATATTATTTTCGATCGCTGGTTTCGAGGACTGGGACATCCATAGATTAGGACTGTGACTGGGACCTTCCTCCAGGTGCGGATTATGTCATGTCATGTGGATTTGCGGTGGCAACATCCAAAAGCAGCGGTTCTGACGGTACCCCACATGCGAGCCATTTCCTACCAGCTGGGGGAGTACAATCCCATACAATCCCTGTTTCTGGTGTGTTTCCATGGAGCACTATGGCATATTATGGGAGAGAAAAGCAGGTCTTTGCCGGGGAGAAATCAATAAACGTGCCACACAGCTGCGAAGCTTGTCCCCAGTGCCTTGAGCACAGACCTTAGTGTCACTTGCTGGCCGATAGCTGGGTACACAATGGTACAAATGCTCGCCGCTATGTAGCCATTATTGCCAATGTGCTGCTTATGACTTTGGAAGCCACTCAAGCCACTGCTTTGGCATAGGCAGAATCAACTCAAATCGACTCCAGCTGGTGATGCTGCTTGATCCTGCATGGTCCTGGTCGTTGTTCGCTCTCAGTGGTCGGTCGTCCGAGGTGATGGTCCCTTTGCCGGCGATGCTGGAGCGCCAATGCCTGTAGAGCCCTTGGTGTAGCAATTAGATGCACAGCTGCCAGGCTGCCAGCGGGTTGAATCGGGATGTTGTTGCAATATAGAATTAAGGTTGTGCCCTTTTTGGTTGGGAGCAGCTTCGGTTCGGAGTTCTTGTGTGGTTTTTAAGAATGAAAGACCCATGACACACCCAGTTCCACAATTTCATATTTGGCCCCAGCTACAGTGAACATGAGGCAAGCACAAAAAGAAGCAATCAGTGTTATGGAGCATGTTGAGGTTTGCCGATGGGAGAGCCTCAAGTGTACTTGGGGACAATGAGACAACACATGATCACCAGAAGGCCAATTTTGCAATTTATTCTGAGATGGCCCAGCAATGTCTTGACAACGCAGCCAGCAGGATAGGAACCAGTGCCTTGGCGTTGATGAGATTGCAGCCATGTGGACCTGGCATGGTCTTCACAGCTGCGCAGCTCCATAAGGCGTGGCCAGAGACGAACGAATGTCCTCCAGGCCGCGGCCAAGGTCTGCATCCTTGAAGGCTTTGCCGCCAGATTCTCCAACACAGCCCGAAGTCACGAACCTCTCAGCAGGGGCTGCCGCAGCTGCCCACTGGAGTGTGACCAAGGAAAAGCCTGCAGCTGGGCGACCACGACCTCTGAAGAGTGTTTCACTCAAGTTGGCCAAGGGGGATGGGAGCCCCACCTCCATGCGGTCCAATTCAGCCGGTGGAACCGGTGGCACCGCATGGGGATCGGGCGAACTGGTGATTGATGCGCGTCAACAGGTGCGACGTGACGTGGGGAGTGGACCACCATCGCGTGGCAGTGCCTGTGAGGTTCCGCAAGCAGCCAGTGTAGCAACCCGCCAACGCCAAGGGCAACCACAGTCCAGCAGAACTCGGCTTGTGGAGAGCCACCCCACGGCCGCACGTCCTCCCATGCCCAGACCTGCAGCAGAGGCATCCTTCCAAAACGAGGGTCGAAGCAGCTCATACCCCAGCAGGCCCAGCTCGTTTGACGAAGAGGCAAACAGTCGCCCCAGCAGCGCAGCCTACCAGCGAGCAGCTGCCATTTATGCAAGTTTGCCCAAGACACCAGAAGGCACCAGAACTTTGGTTCGAGATGCAGATGGTTTCATTTTTCGACCTAGCATGCAGGCCGAAAGTGTTTCCACTCGACCTGTTGTGAAGAAGGAACCTGAAGAAGAGCCACAACAAAGGCCTGCAGATGGTCGGTCCATGGGAGAATTAGAGAGGAGCATTGCAAAGGCTAGGGAGCGAGCAGAGAGAAGCCGCCAAGAACTCACGGGTTACATGGAGAGCTTGCGCAGCAAGATTTTTCACTTCGAGGATGGCAACCCGACCAACGAGGAGCTGCTGGTGTCCCTCCCACCCGACTTTGATGATGTCGTGGACATCAACGCATCTTTGACCGCTTCGGAAAGGTCTCGTCCCAGCTCCGGTGGGAAAGGAGTACATTCCAGTCAGCTAGAGACCATCGATGCAGGCTTCAAGTTGCCTTCCTTTTTGGTCAAGTATTTTCAAGAAGATTTGGGTCAAGCAGAATTGCCTATTGTGAAGATGCAGAAACAGGAATCAGAGCTGGAGAAGGTTGCGAGGCAAGTCGCTAAGCTCGACCGGCTGTTGTCAAGACAAGAGGCTGAAGGCCTAGCTCGCCTCAAAGCTGTCAAAGAGGAGATTGAATCGACTAAGGAAAGCTTGCGGAGGGAGAGCGAGAAGACTGAAGCTGAAAAGCTCCAGCTTCTGAAAAAGCTAAAGGAGAAGGGCCTTTTGCGCAGCCAACCCTCTGGGCTTTCCAAAGCACCTCCGGCAGAGAGCTCATCGAATGACATCCCTCGTGAGAAGGCTCGGTCCGCTGCTTGCTTTACTCCATCCGTGGGTAGCGAGGTAGACTGGAGTGGTTGGGAATGCTCTGCAGAGGTCGAATCCACATTTGCACCATCCAAAGATGCATGGTGTGCCACTCCCCAGCCAGCTCATGGTGATCATCTTGTCACCCCCGAGCCAGCTCATGGTGATCAGTGTGAGGGTGAGTCAGATACTACGACCTTCACCCTGACGGCAACAACCGCAGATCTGACGAAGATCAGCCAAGGACTTCCACCAAAGCAGGCCAAGTTTGATCCGGTGGTCGAGGACACTCTACATGAGGAGAAGGGGGTCGTGGATGACGGTGCGGGCGAAGAACTTGTAGTGCCTTCCCCCCTCCCAGAGGAGCTTTTGGCGGATCCCTATGATCTTCAAGCGATTCATGCCATTGACGACCAGCTGGCCAAAATCATACCCGAGTCAGAATGGGAGGCAAAGTCCATCCGATCAGTTCACAATGGCTCCGATGTTTCTGCCGGTCATGTTTCAGCAGGTGTGAAATCGAAGATGTCCAAGCAATCGGCCTTCTCTTATTTGAGCTCCTCATCTTTGCCTGGCGAACCAGTGCTACGTGAGCAGCTTGAAGAACGAGAAAGCCGAAAAGCACTCAGTGCCATCAACGATCGTCTTGGTCGCCTCCAGGAAGAGCGACACTCAGAACTCAAGCCCGAGCAGCTACAGCAGTTGCTGCTAGAGGCAGCAGCTTCCCAAGTGGCCATGGATTCCAGCAGCAAAGTCTTGACTCTAACAGCAGAGGCGGGTGACTTGGAAGATTCCTTGAAGAGGATGCTTCAACCTCTTCCTGTCACACCGCAAACGCCGGAAACTTCAGGGCCTGCTCTCGCTCAAGCCCGGAAGATCTTGGCCAGGCTCTCTGAAGTCAAGGAGGAATGGGACTCGACCAGCATGGAGGCCAGATGTAGTTTCGTTGAACTGCAGGACAGTGTGAAAGCCTTGGAGGCAACAGCTTCACGTCCCAGCACTGCCGAGCAGGGCGAGCAGGTTCAGTCCGTAGATCCGGATCCTTTGGTGGCGGAGATTTCCTCATGGGCTACCTCGGATGGCTCAAGAGGTGTTTTTGTTTGGGGTTTGTGCTGTGTCCTTTTGTTCCTCTACTTGGTTGCACTTCGACTAGCAATCTTGGCAACATGGTAGAACACCCACAGGTATGTTTCTTTCTTGAACCTTTGAGTTGGTAAAAAAATCACAATCTTATAGGCAGCTTATAATAGGCGTAAATTTAAAGACTGGCTTTTTGTGCCAATGTCCCTCCAGCAGATCCCAGGCTACAAAGCTCCAAGAGTTGAGCCAAGAAGCCTCGCTCTTAGCCGAGCAGGGGATGCCAACGACGGCCCGGTCGCCGGAAGTGGATACGGAAGGCCCGGCTGCTTCAATGGGAGCGGCTTCTTCTTCTGCGGTGGACACCACTACGGAGGCCTGCCAAGTGCTGAGTAGGCTGTGGCTCACACATTTTGGCGCAATCAGCCATTGGGTTCTAGTTCATGTTTCACACGTTCGGACGTAATTAATTTGTTTGTCACGGTCCTCAAACCTGAGCAATAGAGCAGGAAGCCCACTTCTTCGTCGTTGGAAGCCCCACTTGAAGGGAATTTTCAGGCGACGTTTCTTCGTCCGGTACGAATCTCCGAGGCCGAGGAGCCACTACCTCCGCCTTTGGCAGACTTGGCGACCTATGGCCCTAAAGTCGGCCCTTCCCATCAGACCGACTTGGAGGATTCCTTGAAGCTTCCCATGCTCGGAGCTCCCATGGAGGACCTGGAGGCTTCCAGCCTGCTGAGCGATGAGGACTCCGATGGCCCAGTGTTTTTGCCTGTGCCGGACATCGAAGTCACCAAGGCATTGGATCCGGAGATCTTGCCCGAGGGACCCTGGAGTGATGAAATGCTGGAAAGGTTGTCGCGTGCCATGGAGGAGCACTTTGGTCCTGTAGCCAAGTAAAGATGGCGGGCGACAGCGGCAGTTGTTTCTGACCTTGGGTAGTTTGCAGTATTTCTTTGACATGGTAGCTGGGTCAACCTTCTTCCACCTGCGAAAGTGAACCCAGCGGTGCTTGAGCAGATGCCATGTCAAGACAAAGCGGCAGCATAGCTCTTTTGTAGATAGGTCGTTTCACAGTATTGAATTAAGTCTTGTGGTGCCCGGAATTGATAGAAACGATGCGCTGTTTGAAGTGTTTGCATATATGTGTGAAAGCAGCTTTAAGGATCTTATGGTGCAGGCACGTTCCTTACGTTTTTCGCTTGGCTTGACTCAGGCTGTGACCCCATGGTGGGACCGTTCTGGATATGCGCCGCAAGCAGAGTCCTCATTGGTCACTGGACTTCAGGAGAGTTCAGAAGGATAGAATTGGTGGCTCAAAGGACTATGACCCACCTCATGACCGACATTAACCTGCAAGATCTGCAAGATTACTCGATCTTCTCTAGGCTTCTTTATGTTATATAACATGATCCCGCAGGCAGGAAGCACTGCATTGATGTGATATAGGTGCTTGCTCACCCTGTTCTGAATCACCACCCATGGAAGTTGCCGTGGGGCCGAGAGCAAGTCTCAGTTGATGGAGACTCGTCGTGTTGGCAGACGAGTCTCAGTCAGGCTCCACGGGGAGTCTTTTTGATGCTTTTTGGGTGAGGCTTGTGGTGGGGTCACCCCACCCTAACCAAACATAGCTTCAGAAACCACTAGGAAAGAGGAGATGCCTTGCTCTTTGGGCAAGTGCGCTTGTGTGGAAGAACTTCGTCATGCGTTCGGAAGGCATCGAAAGCTGTCGGCGAGGGTCCCTACATGGGCGATGGCCACTCGACAGAAGCGCCTTTTGGTTCTTGTTTTGCTGTGTGCACTATAGTCACTAAAGATAGTTGTTGAGTGACGACTGAACCTGACTGAACCTTTGGTTCGGCTGGGTTTGAACGTTAATTTGAGATAAACTTGGGTTGCACTTCCAGCAGGTGACATGTGATAAACAGCTATTTTGCCACCATCCACTAGTACTCGGAGGGTCGGGGGTGTGCGATTTGCTTCTCAAGGAGGTGTACCAAACATGGGGCCAATGAAACACCGTGTGACCGAGATCTTAGACTTTGGGCTTATTCCGATGCTGTTGGGGACATGGATGAACATCCAGATTCTTGCTCAAGTTCAATTGTTTAACTCAAAAGTGCATTCAGCATCATTCAGCTATGTTTTTGAAAGGAGCGTTTAGACTTGCCCTAAAGCACATGCTCCCCATATCTCACGTCAGCTTTGGTGAAGTCACAGCAGCAAAAAGCAGCTGACGCTTCGCATGGGAACCATTTTTCCGTGCCCAACAAAACGGCAGATTTTGTTACATGATCCTTCCCTGGCCACTATCCCCTTGCCTTTGAACTACTGGAGGTACCTGGCATTTGGGATCCCCTCGACCGTTGCGAGTGGTGAGGATCCCTCATCGCGAGGCGTGACAATGCGGTTGACATCGCTTCACGTTGACAGCACACCTCGAACGACGGACGATCTACGGCGCTACTGACTCGCGACGCGGTTCGGAGCTGCTGCTCCGAGTTCGGAGCTGGGCTGTCCATATTTCCCATGAAACAGGAAGCCAAGGAACTACAGGGAGTTCCCCAACCCCTTGCTAGCTGCTAGCTAGTATATCGCCAGCCAGGGCTTTGTGGTGTATCTTGCAGCCAGGTGCATCATCGCACCCAGTCTTATCAGTCATAGATTTGTCCAAATATGTCCAAATATGCAAAAATGGTGCAGCAAGAGTGTTGGGATTGCCCATCCCCTAAACTATCCTAAGCCTATGTATCTCGCTTCAAAGAATGGAGGACACCACAAAACTAGAGACAGAGAGACAGGATCCATCGTTTGTGTGACACTATATAGGTGACAACAGGTCCTGCACCACTTTCATTGCCCTGGTTGACGTGACTACCCTGATAGACATGAGGCGGCCTTGGCATTTGCTGACCTGAAGGCAACCTTTACCAAATTCTTGAACTGGCGTATTGTCATCGCCCAAACGAATGTGTATTTTTGGTCATGGGTGTAACATCATGATCAAGATTCACACCACATGGTGACAAATGCTTGCACCCATCGGAGGGTCTCAGTTTCAATGAGACGGGCCGGGCCCCCAGAATTCCCAGAAGTTCAGCCCTTTGCCACTCTCCATGCCTCGGTGACCACCTGGTGACCGCTACGACCACCTGGTGACCACCTCCCTCCGCGCCATCGAACCAGGGCTTCGCCATCCCTCCGCCACCACCGCACCCCAGTGGGCCTTCGAACCCGGCCGCGCCTGCGTTCGTGCCGGCCGCGGCATCTGTGGTGGAGACAGAGGAACAGCCGGGGCCTCAATGGGGGGAGCGGTTAGTGCATGGGAGAGATGCAAGCAGAAAACCAGGACTACTCACTCACTATGGATGAAGGGATGGACGGAGGGAGGGATGGAGGGATATGTAAATACGCACTGTTGCCCAGCATTAGGAACTAGCACGAGCACTAATTACAACGGCTTTGAGTGATGAAGCCGACAGAATGTTGGGACACAGGTGCTTCCCTATGTGAGAGTAGCGATAAGATTGTTTGTAGAAATAGAACAGTTATTGAAATACTCCATATGGTCACTTGCTGCGGGTGTTGATTGTGGTGCTCAAAAAGTTTCAGCTGTAATACAGGATCATACAGGTGAAGGTTTGCATGCTGGACATTTTGGTTCAGATTGGTTGCTGGCTGCTTTGGCACACAGAATCATAGCCTTTAGGCATGCGATGTGACTGTGCGGCGAAGTCCTTTGTCAAATGCCTTTTGCTGACCATCCTGACGCTGCTCATGCAGCAACTCGTTGTACCATGCCTCACGAAAGACGCTCTGGCACAGTGTCGGCCCTCACTCTGTGGCTCAACTCTTCCCACCCGGACGAGGTCATCGGCTCGATGTCCTCAACCGGTCCCTTGGAGCCAAGCGCGACTTCGGTAGGGAAAGCGAACGAAACACGGTGCAATGGGCTGTTGGCCCGGCATGGAAGATACCCATTGAAGTGATTCTTCATGAAGTCAAGAGATGAAGTGCAGGGGACATTGCCCACAGTTCAGGTGAAGCTGAAAGGTTATCTTGGGCTGCCGATTTGTGACAGGCCTGTCCGTGGCAGTTCAAGCAAAGGATTATGCTGATGGGCAGGTGGTGCCATTGAACCGCTTGGCCACCTTCTACTTGTTGGCCAAGGTGCTGTGGGGACTGCAGGTGTTTCACATGTTTGTCTTTCGTCCAAAGCTAGAACCCACGCATGGGAATTGGACGAAACTAATCTGTAATGACATAACACATTGTTTGATCATATTTTGATGCAACTCCCCAATGTCTATAACCCGCCAACCAGCGACTTGGGCACTGAGGCCGAACAGTCGTGAACCCCTACGTGCAGAAGCTGATCGTGGCAACCGATATAGCGCCCTGGACGGGTGCAGAGCATCGTACACGGTGGTGCCGGCGAGCCCGGGAGGCGGTCGAAAAGGACGAGGACCGCATGGCTGCTTGGAGCAATGTCAGAGGTTCATGAGGACTAAAGGTGTGAAGAGCGGAACTGGGAGCCTTTGTTGGGTGGCTTGGAGTCTTCTAGAAAGGCCTGTGTGATAGAAACCAAGCTAGATTTGATGGAACAGATGGCACAGCTCCTGGAAGAAACGTTGCGGTCCTTGAGTGCATCACGCATGGGGACTGGATGGAGTGCCGACTTGACAGCTGACGTGTTTGTTTGCGTGCGGATTTTTTTCTGCCTGGCAGCTCGAGAGCTTGTCCTTTGACCTCCTATTGCTCGACGAGGCTCATCACTACAAGCCTGCTTGGCAGCAGAAGGCAGATTACACGATTACACGGAGGAGAGTGGTCCTCATTTAAGGCAGGTCTTGTCGCTGAATGCTGCCAAGCGGATCTTCTTCTCAGCCACTCTAGTGCCAAACCTTCCAGACTTCAACTTTGGCCTCCGGGCGGCCCTTGAAGCTGGAGTCATACAGGACTATTCCATCCTGGTGCCGGTTGTCTCTGCTGATTCAACGGTTGCGACTGTCGTGGAAGATCCTGGCCTTTTGTAACACGCTTGGAGAAGGAAAGCAGTTCACCAAACTCCTTGTGTAGGCTGGTATTCCAGCAGATCACTATAATGCAATCACCAAGCAAACGCACCGGCAAGAGATCCTGTTCTTAGCGAGGGTGTTGATTTGCCGAGGGCTGATACTTGCCTGTTTGTGTCACCACGGCATGGCATCAGGTTCGAGTGGAAGCCGGGGAAATGCATGGGCAAAGCACAGGATCTCAGCACAGCATCCAAAGGGCTGCCGATCTGGGACTTAGCCTTCGAGGAGGGGCCGGAGACCGATGCGCTGAAGACTCACGCTGGGGGTTGACCAATGGAAAACAAGTGGGTTGCCTTGCACAATGGATCAAGATTTGATGTTTCTCATTGGAAAATATTTAGGCCCGTCAAAAATGGTAGAAAAAACAATGAACACCACATTTTCTCTACAAATAGGTGGTTTTCCACTTTTATTTAAGTGACTCGGAGAGTATCATCATCTACCACCATGTGGCGTTAGCATCAGGGCAATCGTCAACGACCATGCAGAGAATACGTTTGTACCTAACTTCTTCAATCCCGAATGTTCTTCCCGATTTCGGGGCTGCGGACGACTGGCTGGCTCTTGCTCATTTTCCCGACTGGCTCGACCACGTGTCTGTCGTTGATCATTCTCATCCCTTTGGAGCTTCATGGCGCATCTCGCCTGGGAGACCGGCCGCCCCGTGGTCGTTTTCGTGCGCCAGGACCACTTCGACCGCCTCACCTGTGTGCCTGACCGCAATGGCGTGCTGCGACCCAACCCGGAGACATGGACAACCGAAATCGGCTCCTGGAACCGACCAAACGCGCAGAGAAGATGGAGCAAACCGTGCGCGTTTGATGGGCAGTTTTGGAACAACACGGTTTTTAAGGCTGTTTTGGAAGGGATTGGAGAACAGCTCGCAGGGAATTAGGGACCTTTTTGGGGTCTGAAGAAGGTAGTTTCATATCTCGGTTTTGCCGCGGAAGTGATGCGAGATGATGTGAGTTCAGTCATGTTGCCTCGATGCCCCCAGTGGTTGCGAAGAACATCAGGGCCACCCAGGGCCACCAGAAAAGGTCACTGACGATGTTTGAAAACCGCCTGAGGCTACAAGCGAGGCAACCCAGCTGCGCTGATTTTCGTTTGTTCAGAAGGGTCCGAGAAGACGCGAGATTAACTGAATACATGCTGTAGTTCGGATCGTGCTGCAATTTTCATGCGATGCGCATACTATGGTTTAATGAGTGCACCGCAGTATTGTCACAGAGATGCTGGCCGCGGCCCAAAGAGGCCGCGGTCTGTGATCCTGGCGTTGTAGTTGCCTCAGGCACATATATGCAGACAAAGGTGTTTGTCACAATGAACAGACTTTATTCTGTGCCGGAGCTTCTTCTCAACGCTTGACAGCCCCCAAGGTAAGGAGAGCCAGTTCTACCTCCCAGACAACGTGGAATGCAAAGACGGCGCGCTGGTGATCACCGCCAAGCGCGAGCGCAGCAAGGGCGAGGCCACGTGTGAGGTGGCTCGATTGAATACCAGGGCGATCAGCGTCAATGCGTAGGTCCGGTTCTTCGAAAAGAGTCAAGCTGGATGCAGTGGTTGCTCCACCAGTGATCCGTTCAGCGAATGGCATATTGGCTGAAGATAGGGAATTGAGGCGATTCCTTTGGAAACTGGCCACAGTGGATGTCGTGTTCCGGAAGTCGTTGGAAGAAGGTAATTCAGGGAAGGCCGTACGGTTGGAGATCAAAGCAGCAGGGCTCCCAGAAGAGAGTTTATAAAGAGATGGTTGAAGAACGAGCGGCGGACTTGACATATTGAGAGAGATTCAGGCAATTGAGATGACCTGGGAGGCCGCTTTCCCTCGTGCCCAAAAAGTACAGATGTCCAGATGGCTTTCGAATTGGCGCATGGGTCGAGATGTCCAGCGTGTCAAAGAAGCGAGGCAAACCGCAAAACGTGTTGCACTTTGAAAGAGCTGGAAATTGTGCGGCGGCCGAAGAAATTGAATCGGCCAAGATTGCCTGCAGAAGGGGTAAAACAATTGGGTTGCGCCATGCGTGCGGAAAGCTCGTCGCCAAGCGGGGTCAGTCGACACTTATAGAAAGCACAATATTGGCAGGCTATTGATGGCTATTGTATGATTTTGAGAAACAGCCTGCCTTTCATACAATAGCCTGTAATATCAACGGGCTATTGAAAGGCAGGCTTGATATCGTAATGAAATGATATTGAATGAATGCCGCAGCTGAGGCCGCAGAAGAGCGAAGCAAGTGGGGCTTGGGACTCAGAGCAGGGTTTGCTGATGATTTCCTGAAAGATCGTGTTCTTGAGGGGCACATACTGGGCTTTGGATTGGGTTTCTGAGTTCTATTTTTGAGCCGGTCAAGCAAGACTCCAAGTTGGCACACGTGGTTCCGTTACAGTTTGAATGACATGTGGGTCTCGTTCTGAAGTATGCTGGGGGAACCATGGCGGTACACTCCTTCATTCGTTGAACCCTCGGCCTGGCCAGGTTGGGAAGAAACCCAAGAGGAGGAAGGAGCGACAGCCGGTCTGGAACGCAACATGAGATAAGACTCTACTCCATACCCGGACCATCCTGGACCATCGAATGCGTGTCAACTTATGAAGGTCCCGTAGTACTTCCCGTAGTATATAGGTGGAGGATCCGGCTGCTTTGGTGGATGCAATTGAAAAGCTACAGAGTTATATGCTGTTTGGAGTTCCTATTTGCTGTCGTTTGGGGCGCATTGTTGTTTGCTTCCAACATGCGGTTTGAACTGTTGCAAAGGTTCAAGTTATACTTCACTCATCTTCACTCCAAGGGTTCAATCTGAAAGCACACAGGGCAAGAAATTATTCCAAGACAGGACAGGGCAAGAAATTCCACTGAGAGGAAGGATTCAAAAGGATGTCATTGGTTCCACTGAAGGTAAAACATTAAAACAGTTTACAAGGCGTTTGACCTTCTGCCGCAGGAGCGTCGAGATCGCCGGGGCTCCGATGGCATCTTGGACGTGCAGGGAATGGACTTGGCAGTAGGGGGGACGACGGTTCTATGACAATATATCCATCTACTCCTGGCCATAGAACCATCATAGTATCCATCATGTTCGTCATACTGCTGGCTCGGCCGATTCCGACCTGCACCCAAAACAGGCGGCCGCGAGGATGACATCTCCTCGGCGATCGACGGCTTGCTGAGCCTACCGAATGCCAACTTGCAGAAGGTGCTCACTGGGATTGGCAGTATACCTACATCGAGATGATTCTTGGAGTCAATGTGGGTCTGTATGTAAGACTCCGCACATAGTGTGTTTGGGACCCTGATGCTGCATGTTCTGTTTCTGACATGTATATAGAAGATCTATAGAACTCAGTGACCAGTTGGCCGAAAACTTCACCGGAGTAGCGGCGTTGTGACGAGCGGGGGCCCACCTTCCTCGCCGGCCAGTCGCGCGTACCTGTCCTATCCTGTTTTGGCCAGGCGGACTTCGACAGCGGCGTGCGGCGGTATTTGGGCGCCCTGCGGGGTTGTCCGAATGGCCCGCCGGGACCTCGTGCTGAACGAGTGCGGCGTTTCCTGGGTGGTGGGTCCTGTGAGGAGACGGAGTTTTCAAGAAGTGACCGACCAAAATCTAAGGCAAAAAGTGAAGGATGCAATGGCAGGGCGCTTAAGACATAGAGTATGGCGAACTTGGCAGACACCTGAAGCAGCTTGAAACAACCCTGAAGGCTACAAGTGCTTCAAACCAAGCATATCAGAATCATTCGTCCAATTTCGTCCATATCTTTCCCAACTGTGCAGAACTTTTGGCCTGCTTCCATGCAGTAGGGTTTGTGCCATCAAGCACCGCTGCTTCAGGCCATGCTTCACACCTACACCTCCCAGAAGTCCCGCTCGGCGGTGAAGAATTGGCCGGCCTATTTGTGACTTGGTAAGAAGGCATGGCTTGTAGTTTCCTTTGGGGGGATTACAGTGTCCCACTTACAGAGTGGGGCGGTTGACCTTGAGCCTAGTTTGTGTGCGAAGACTTCAGTGGCTACATATCAATCCTTCCGAGATCAATTGAACTTTGTTTTTGTGGCTGAATCGAGTCAGCACCCCTAACTTTGTGCCTTTTCCGATCGTGAGCGGGTGTAACTTTTTGCGGCAATGTATCACGTCCACATGTCATATCCTTCTGCCACCGAAACTCCACAATGAACACAGACCACACAGACCACAAGTACCCGAAGGGTATCCTCAGGTAGACGACCTCTTTTACCACTTTCAATGGTGTAGAGGGAGTGAATCACTGGTATTCTGTTCGCTCCCATTTTTACGCTTGAGGCTCACCTTGCTGAAGCGTTTCGAGCCTGGGGCGCTGAACGCCCGAAGGTGGGGAGTCGGATTAGATCAGAGCATCAGCAGAGAGGAGGACGGAGACACTAAGTAGATATAATTGAAGGTATATATATATATTTACTGTATATATGATTACATATATATATGTCTATATGTGTAACATTATTAATGGAACTATGGTTGGGTTGGGCTATAAGTCATACAGAACACATCAAAAGGTTGTTGTACTCATTCCCTCACCCTTGGCCATGGTCAGGTACTTCGAGGGCAAAGGCTGGAACGAAGCGCAGGGATCAAACACCGACCGCCCGGCGGTGCGACAGTGCCGGCTGTGAAAGGTTATCAGAATCATGTGAGTCCTATTGAATGCGTGTGTTACGCCCAGCTTACCAAGCTGCTGACCGGGATACCCCGACCGGAACCTTGGGCCCTTTCTTCCAGGTGGCCCTAGAAGAGAGGACGCAGAGGCAAGGACTGGGAGCGTAACCCGCGTTGGGAGTATATGCTTCTTGTTCCTAGTAGCTTATTGTTTCTAATAGCTTCTTGTTACTACTAGTAAGGCACTTGTTACTAGTAGCGATGCACTTGTTACTAGTAGCTTCTTGTTCCTAATTAGCCACCAGGTTTGAGATGGAAGCCCGGAGCCCGCTCATGCACTGTGAACATCTCTGGAAGTATGTGTGATGAAAGATGTGTGATTGGACATCGCTGTTGTACATGCTTTTTGGCCCTGTATGGAATTGTATGCTTTCCTTGAAAAGCTGCTTTGCAAGTTGGGCAGCACTGGTTTGCGTGCCATTTGGGTCGGGACACCCCGACATGGCAGGGCAAGGGTGAGCAGGATGGAGAAGAGGCCAGGCAAGATATTGCTTTGTCCCATTTCGGAGCAGGGGCGGCAGCCCCACATGTTTTCCCCACTTAGGGCATGCACTGAAAGCATGGCATCGGTTTTTTTCGAGCCGTTCCTGAGCTAAATCAAAGATGGTGCAGTTCACCCGGCACATCAAAGCATATTATGTTGAAGCATGTTGAAGCAACCCTCTTGTGCTGAATTCTTGAAAGGAGGGCCCGCAGCCTTTGCCTGAGGAGGCAGGGTGGGTTGGTAAAAGCATATCATGCAAGATGCTCCATGTGTTTGTGATTGTTGTCAGGCCTTGGGATTCCCAGTGCGTAGGGGTGACTACGATAGGCAGCAGACTAATGATTCATGTTGAGCAGGGCTGCGTGGCATCAAAATGTGCGCTAGTGTGTATACATCAGTGAATTTGTTTTTGTTGTCGTCGTTGTGAAGCTTCATTGGCTTCCCCTTCATTATGGAGAAGAACCATGCGTTCTCGCTCTCTATCTCTCTATTTCTGTATATATACATATATTTCTTTATATTCGTTGGTAGGCCTTATTGAAGAGATAAGTGTTCCTTTTCTTGAAAGAAGGCCAAAGCTCCGGAAGCTGCAGCAGAGGCTTTGCCGGGAGAGTTGTTATTTAACATGGTGCTGAAGCTACCCGCAATGACCCACATGCCATCCAGCCATGTCAAACACAGCAGATCTTGGCAGATCGTGCGTTTGCAGGGTTCCTTTTGTCTTGAAGCTGAATGCTCATGCTTGGATCCGATATACGATATCTACAAGCATATTTATGTATCTAATAGCGATCGAGTTTTTTGTGATTGTGCTTTGGCGCCGAGACAGGAACAGACGTGAACGTTACACCATGGAATCCTTTTGTTCCTCGGCATGTGAAACAGGAAGCGGCAGCGGTGCCTACGGCAGAGGCTTCGAGGACACATGTCATGAGTCAAGAGCACTCAATCGGAACTCTTGTACTATTGTACTTGTTCTATTCGCAGCGTGTGATGGGTCACTGGCTTCACTCGACAGACCCTGAAGCGGCAATTTACATGGCTTACGATGGCCAAGGTCAGTTTTTCCACGTTTTCCAGGTATCCCAAGTGAGATGTGACACGGCAAGATTCATGCAACACCATAATACCAAAATAACTTTGCAAGGGGGTGATGTCAGCAACTCGGAATCTCAAAACCACACGCTTTCATTGAATTGTGCCACGCACTTCGATTAAAACCCGTCCTCCCTGGCTGTGATCAGTGTGGCCATGGTTTTGGAGGGTATCAAGTATGAGCTCCGCCAAACCTTCTACGAGTTCCTGACGCTGAAAGCCGATTGGCGCCGCATCTCTCGTCGGGTTGCGCCGGTGGCGGCCTTTGTGACGCTGGGTGCAGGTGTGCTGTACGCCCGGAAGAGGCAAAACCCTCCAGATTCAGGCAGGGTTGCCGAAGCCATCCGAAGCCCAAACCATCCGTCATGCAATGACGAGAGATTATCAACATGGGAGTCTCTTGCGGGGATATCCATGATATCCATGCAAGTTTCAATGTTTGCTTTGGCTTTCCAGAGCCTTCACACCACGGCATGTTGGAGGTTCAACACCCTATAGCAGCTTTGCAGCTATAGCAAAAAAAGGGGATGAAAACTGAAAACCATGCCAGGATTTTTGGCTTCCTGCACCTTCACTTGTGGCTCTTCCTCAAGTGCACTTCTGAAGGAAGTCCGGTCACAGGCACCTGACTTCGCTGCCTTGCAACTTGGAGCTTTTAAAGTCGAGACTTGGAACTGGATCATGTCATGTCTATGACACCACCCCCCAAAAAATATAACCATGAAAACTCCATTGCTCCAACAGGCCACCACCTGCAATGGTGAAGAGAGTGCCCTGGACTTCAGACATCAAACCTGACTAGTAGGGATCCAGTCCCAGCACCAGCACCCCAGAAACCGTTGATTCCCGCTCGTTGCCACTTGGCCACAACCTTCCACCACTCAAGGCAACGCGCCGCCCGACGCTGGCGCGGGCCCATGGAGCGCGACCTGATGCGCGTGCAGCTGGGCAGAGAGTCCACCGTTGCGGTGGTGCAACGCCTGGTGGCCGAGTGGCAGGAGGCTGGGTACTTCGCGGAGCCGTTGACGGTGAAGAGACCACGAGAGGCTTTCCCTGGCATCGATCTGATCTCTCAGGTGGATGAATCCTATGGGCGAGATATTGGGAGTGAGGTGCCGCTTTGCCTGTTGGAAGATGGACATGCAGTTAGAAGTCTGAGTCCTGAGGATTGGATGGCTGCATCAGATTCCTTGGAAGTGCATGGTGCCGTTGTTTTGAGAGAGTTGATCTCCACAGAGCAGGTGATGCGCTTGCGTGAGCGCATGCACCTGCAGAGCAGCCAGCTGGATTTGGCCAAGTGCAAGGGAGGGGTGCCACCCATCCGGGAGTTTAATTCCAAGCCCTTGCAGGCTGAAGATGAGGATCTGGAGCCTCACATGTCCACCCCTGGCCGGAAGCACTTCTATCTCAGGGGCCGGATCTTTGAGCAGCAGGTGGCGGAGGCACAAGCAGGTGCTATGCCGTTGGTGTGGGAGCATTTGTTGAAGCAGGGGGCGCCTCAAGGTTTGAAGCCGTACCTGTCAGAGGTGCAACTGACGCTCGGATCAAATACCTTGCACAGCATTGAGTTTCCAATTCAACCAGCGCACGATTCCTTTGTGACCTGCCTGTTCAAGCTGGCTGGGGCCATTTGAGGCAGGTAATTATGACATCACTAGGGTTTCGTCCTCAATTTCAGAATCAGAATTATCAGAACATTTCCAGCACTTCTAGTTCATGTCAGTCATTTTATAGGCAACCTTCTTTGCATTTTTGTTGCCCTTCTGCCAAGTGAGGATGGTCTCAGATCCTTGTGCAGTGGACCAGTTCTGGCATGTCGACAACGCTGCTTCTGGTTTGACCCTGGTGGTGCCACTCACAGCTATTCCGGGGGACATGGGTGGAACACTGCTGCTGCCAGGATCACACCATCTCTTCAGCAACCAGGGCACAGTTTCTCGAGTTTCTAGGCTGAATGAACTTGAAAGATGCTCCATTCACGTCATTGTGGTGATGCTGGTGGCGCTGCAATATCCTCTTCAAATGCTCATAACTTGTCACGTCAAACGGACCAGGTTCTTCCTGTCCAGCAAAACTCATTCCACTGTTTGAATGGCACTGGAGGCCAATATGGCATATGGATCAACGTATCAATACATTCAGATTCAGTCACTTAATATAAATATGTCATATTAACATGTCTTTATCTTCTTGTGCCATTGGCTTTCCCACCCCTTCTCCAACTGCAAATCATCGGAACCATCGGGAGCCACACCTTTTTTCGCCAATCCTTCCTAATATGCTGTGTCTCCACTTCTTGGCCTCCCCGCCTTCCCCGAGGTTCAGAACTTCTTCTCCTCCTTGCTCTCCGCCAACGGCCAGCCCTCCGTGATGCTCAACGCTGGGGACGCCTTCCTCTACGACTCCCGGCTGCTGCACCGGAGCGCAGCCAACCGGCGCTACGACCGGACCGCGGCGGTGCTGGTGTTCCGCTACGACTTCGAGCGGCCACCAGGGATGGGCTGCGTGGAAGAAGGGAAGGAGGGGAAATCCGCCGGATCGAAGTCCACAACCTGGGGCAATTAGTTGTGTCATTCCCTTCTGATAGGCCATGTTCCTTTTAGGGGACTGTGCAGTTGTAGGTTGACAACTATATATATATATACACTGTATATATATATATATATTAGTTATAGTAGGAATATCCACCTGGTAGTGGAACATAGTGTCATTTTCCACTCGGCGCCCGATGTTTATCAAGAACCCCCTGCTAATAGGATCCAAAAGGTAGTAGGCACTCATGATGATTCAAAGTTGGTGGACCTGGAGTTTAAAAAACAACTTTTATTAAACATATTTAGTTGGGTGACCGGGTGAGAATCACACACATTCAGTTCCAGTTTACATGTTGAAAGAGTGCCACAAAGGAGTTCTCTCAACAGATTGGAGCTGATTATATTGGTGTTTGCGCTCTTGTAGCAGACAGCCCATACACACTCCCACACAATCATAGAACTTGACCCATAGCCATAGCCCTTAGCAGCCTTAGCCTTTTGCACTACGTCCCTTGACATGTTTGCTAGTCTTTCTGGATGACAATTGTCATGATGCGCCATCCCAGGTTTGATCGCTGCACAAATCTGGTCTTGGACGGGCAACCTCCTTTCAGGCCTTCATCGCTTCTATTCAAGGCTGCCACCGCCACCTTGACGCTTCGGCAGCCACGTGTCGGGGCTGAGCGGTCCAAGAGACAGATTTCAGGGCCGCGGTCCGGACTGCCGGGGAGACGATGAGAAAACAGTGCCTGTCACTCTTCCAAAAGTCTGACTCCATCCTGAATCCGATGCCGCGAGAGAAACATAGAGAAACCATGTTGTTTCCGTGTTGTTCTCCAGCGCCCTCTTCGTGACTCTCGTCGCTCCATGGTGAGGAGCCCCGCTGAGCCAGCCTCGCGACCATTGAGGCGCTTTGGGCCAACGGAAGCAAATCAGCACACATAGCTCACAAAGATTCCGAGTGAACATCCCTTCTATCGCGTTTACTTTGTGTTGTTTTGCTTGTGCAGTTTAAGGAGCTTCAGTAAAAACCTGAGTCTGCCAAGGAGCTCTTTACTAGACTGCTTGCTTGCGGAGGTAAAGTGTTTGAGTCCGGTTCAACAATGGTTCTATGAAACTCTAGCTCAAGAGCAGTCGCCTGTTTTTGGCCATGTAGGGTTGGCCATGTAGTTTTGATACACCCGAGCCAAAGGATTGTAGCACACTCATCAGTATTTGACCCTTGCCTTAAGCCACTCGTTCAAGGCATCTCAGGGTCCAAAATGCTTTCTCAAACTGTTGCACCCTTCTCCATCCCTATTGGCAGGCTGCATAAGAGGCAGTTTTATAGCAGCAGTTATACGCATATATATATATATATAATACTCCAATGAAATGTCAAAGTAGATACATCACGACGCATGTTCATCCAAATGTATATTCTATAATTGCAGGTAGTTTTATGTAGGTTTAAGCAATTTAGCCTAACATTTGTTTACTTCCAAGATGAAAACCACATGTGCAAACAACCACAAAGCTGCAATGGAAGGACTGGAACGGTTTTGACCACATTGGTTGTTGTCATGGTCCATAGGTTGACTCCTCGAAAGACTGGACCCCCCTCGACTGCCACAGTCCTCTGACATGGTGTGACCGTCCCGAGGAAGCCCTTGGAGGAGCCAGTCTTCGAAAGGCCTCGATGGCCGGAAGAAGAGGAAGATTTGCCCGTTGGGGAAGCCAAAGGAACGGCCGGGTGGTTTCCGCTTCCAGCTACGGTCGGTGGTAGGCGACCCACGACCTTGGAGTACCAAAATGACACGTTTAAAGAGTCAAGGAAGGAAACAACACATTTGAACTGAACGCTTGGTATTCCACAGTTTCTTGTGTTTTTGTTTACGGTTCAATTGAGCGGATGTCATGTTTGCCGGTCCTTGGAATACTTGGTGCGGGTCATATCCGCGCAGATGTCCTGCTGTGAAGGCCATGTAGTTTCCAAGAGCACTTAATTTCGCCGGAGGCTTCATGACCTTGCAGATCGTTCCACTTATATGTGTACAGCGTATTTATAGAGTTACTTCATTCATGTTACTTCAGATTGTAACCGGTACATGTGTGTTCCCTACCACGGCTGACCGCACATGGCTGCGGCTGACCGCCTCGCCCTGCCTCGCCCACCAAGGCCGATGCGCTGGTCGACAGTTGACCCAAGGCGGCCAGTCTTGTCGTTGCCGTGCACCTGGCCGACATGTCGTTCACTTGTCGTTTGCTAATCGCTTGTAAGATGCTTGTAAGTGTCAGGCAGGTGGAAGCCACCAAGCAGATAGTTTTTTATAGACGTTTTTAGATAATCGATGTTGTGAATGCAATTCCTTCCCTTGCAGTTCAGGAAGGCTTTACTGTTGCTCCTGTGGCTTCACAACCCGAGTCAGTTGGTGCTTTGGCGATCCTAAGCGTTGCAGGAGTTGCGAAGCCTGCATCACTTTGGATGCATTGAATTGATTCGACGAGTTGCTCAATATGGTTCCTCGTTACTGCGTAGAAGACCTCGAGACCTTAGAAGCGTCAGCTAAAGCGCTCTAGGGCAGTAGGAATACTCTCAGACGGCTTGTGGGTGGGCGGGATGAACTGCAAGAAGGTCATCGTCAGTCAAGTGTGCCTATGTGTGCCTGTTTGCCAAATGTTCAACTGGTGGTTTTCCATTGTTAGTAGCTGGGCGACTAGTTACTGCCATTGAAGCTTGGCAACTGGAAAGAGCATCTTTCGTCAGGGGGGACACCTTTCGTCAGGCTGCCCAATGTGTCTCAGACTGACAAGCTCACACACGCTTGGATCCCGAACGCGCCCCAACGCGGTCCAAGCGAGACATGCCCGTCCAGCCGAGCTGACCACGTGTTTCACTCTGCAGCTGGGCTGCCCAGCAGCTGGGCTGGAGCAAAAAGGATCGAACGTGCGGCACACAGGGCACGTGCAGTGGTGTATCAGTGGGAAAGCCGTGGACATGGGGAATCGATGCGAGTCGCTTGTGATGCATGTAAAGTTAGTTGTTCTAAATAACTTGAAGCTTTATAAAACTAAGTTTCGATTTAAACAACCTATGACTGGGGATATGCCGACGGAAGGTGCTGTTTTAGGCGACACAAGGCTCTTATGGGACTCCTTTCTCTATGATTTGATTTGTTTGTTGCGGAAGGCGTCCGCCGAAGACTCCCACGTAGAGGACAACAGTGTGGGGCTAGAATGAGTTGCTGTCGAATGGCTTTTGCATTGTTTCTCCGCCATTGCTGGAGCACGCAGGCAAAAAATCCAGGTTATGATCAACATCAAGGACTGGTTTCTCCAAAGCACTTCTGGCGTTTTTTTTCTGGAACAACTGCACCGACTGTGTCAGTTGTTTTTCCCGATGATGTTCCTTTCGTCGCAGATATGGTCATATTATATTCCTTGACTACTGATTTTACTTGGTGTTTGTGCTTTTGGTGTTGGCCATGCCATACCCACGAACTCAACTAACTTACGTATAGCATAGCATCCCACATGGGCAAGACCGGCTGCACTTGTCATGCAATATGACGGGCATGATGAGTGGCGTCTTTCTGCGAGGAGGATAATCGCCTTTTGCGGGCCGAGTTGAAAAAGGTCAGCCGTCATCGCGGCAATCGAAGTGAGCGCGAGAATCGAAGTCATCGCCGTCATGGCGGTCCGAAGTGATGTAAATCAATCGCGCGGTCCAAGCACTTTCCTGGAGGTGTCATTCAGGAGATCCGTTCGGCCTAGGAGTCTCGTACCAAATCGCTCAACGAATGATATGTGTCTTGTTTTTCCCGAAAGCATTGCGAAGGGTTCTTCCGGAAAAGCCCTTGAACACTCACACTTCGACACTTACACTTACACACTGACACTTCCACCACACTTGCACTACAACATGAACGCTATACGTACCCCAGTGTAAGTGGAAGAGCGAAAGCATCCAAGTGCAAAGTATGCAAGTGTCAAAGTATGCAAGTGTAAGTATATGCAAGTGATGGGTATGCAAGCATGCAATGAGTATGCAAGCATGCAATGAGCATGCAAGCATGCAATGAGTAGGCAAGTGTGAGTATGGAAAAGTATGGAAAGCATGCAATGAGTAGGCAAGTGTGAGTATGGAAAAGTATGGAAAAACTACCACGGGAGATGTCCTAATGAAAAAACATTTCCCCACATAAATTCTCTCTTAAAGGCGGAGGGTGGGACGAACAGCATCAACCGAAAATGCAAACCTTTGCGGAGATCGTGCGTGTCGAGTGCGCGAAATGCAGGCGAGAG